CGGATAAGACAGATATTCACCTTTATGTCTCTATGGAAACACGACAGGTACCCTTACGAGGGGAGAGTATCAACTCGGCGTTTATAAACCCTCTCTGCAAAGGAGGTAGGCGCATGGTGGGTTAGGTATATACAGTGTTCTTCATTGCAGAGAAAATTGTTGTTTATCTGCCTGTCTCGTCTTCATTGAGAAAGTTGATGAATTGATGAATTACAAAAATATATCGCGTTCCAGTTACGAATGTTGAAAAAAAATCTAATATTCTATGTAGGTCTCATGATTCAAATTTGAAATTGATCCTTAGTTTTAGATCCGAGCAGCACATCGTTTGGCCTTCAAGGTCCTTAATATAACCCACGTACGTAATTGGAAATGTGGACGATGCCTACTGGAAAAAACACTATTCGGAAAGAAAGCAGTTATGTAGCGATCCAGTTACGGACGTTGAATATATCATTCAGGTATGTCTCAGATTCAACATCCATGTAGTTCATCTAATGATATTTATTTTCTGATATGAATGTACTTCGATTGATATGTGATTTTCTGTTGCAGATCAGAGAAGCAGTATTTGATACTTTCTACTCAATCCGAGAAAACCATCATCCAGTCCATACGAACCGAACAGAAAATTCACGAATTCACGAAGTGAACTGACCAGAGTATACTTGACTAGTTATGTTATATGTATAGTTAGTATATTATGATTTGATAGTCTCACATTGATGTGACATTTTTATAATATAATTACAACACAGAATCTTATAATTTGTATCAATTGTATCCATAATTTGGTGACCACGACGTGATATTATGGAGCAGTTGAGCGAAGGCGAGATCATACAAATTTTAAGACATTTCACAATCCATGTTAGTGATTCGATGGAACTTTCGGATATGAAGGAAATGCTGACAGAGTACATTAATAGTTATTTATGTATCAAGGGCGTGAAGTAGGCGTTTATGTCCTGTGGCGTTACACGCTGAAGGCCATAAACGTATTTCACGCACGTGATAAATATAACATTTTATGCACTAGTGGTTTATTTTCTGACTCAAAAGTAATGAGTATAGATTTTGATGAACTAATATTCCCCCGAATTTAATATGTGACTTATAAATTAAGTAATCAAGAGAAGCGTAATGTTATAAATACAATGAAAGATAGGAATGTCCTAGTCAGAAATGTCTAAGAGGTCTTTTGGTTTCCGCTAGAGAAAATAAAAACGAAAATTATAAGTTTTCGTTTTCTTCCAGTAATTCAAAAACTAAAAATGACACATCAAATTTTCTCGCAGATAAATGTTCAGCATAAAACTTTGCTCTAATTTAACCGACGTCGAATCTCTTATAAGAACTGAGATATCCTTGTTGGAGCTCGAAAAACGGACACCCTGTATACATTATCCTAAGAAACTATTATCATACAATTTCGAATGAATTTGGAAAATATTTATTTGCATTGTGAATTCATTCGGACATCAAATTAAAAATGATACTTTCCTCGAAAACTGTTCGTTTTACGGCATTCTAATAAAAATACCTTCTTCATGCATAAGTGTGTGAAACATTATATAATGATAGTAGAAATAAGATAAATCTTGAAACAAAAAATTTGGGGTAGTTTTATAGCACGGTTACAAGTTTCGCACCTGTCTGTATATTAATTAATTAAGAGGGCGGATGCGTTTGAAATGGGACACGCTGTAGATTCGCTAATGTTGAATATTTTTTCATGAAACCTGATACCGATCTATTTCAGAAGACGCAGATTCCAGTGGTGTACGCGGATTTTTTTTGAAAAAATTGGTACTAAGGATTCTAGACTTTTCAGTCTCTGAATGTGATCTAGTAGGCCTTGATTTAAAACAAATCCCCACCACATTTCAGAAAAAAAAATCATGAGAATCGCTGCTCGAAAAATAGCATGAATATGAAGTTTCTTGGATGTGTGATATATTGATATTCATCATACAGGACGTGGAAAGAAATTCTGAATTGAGAAAATCTAATCACGAATCTGCGATTGAAGGTCTATAAAAGTTTCCATCGTTCAAGTTTGAACCCCTTGATTGGGTGAAAGTATTGAAAAGGAATATTGTCAGATAATGTCAATTCTCAATTTCAGATGATTTTCATTTTTCATGCTCTCTTTTTGGATGTTCATCAACAGATATAATTCAATGTTCGACGTGGCAAATAGCCAGGAAAGTATATGTTTTCTGTTGAATATTCATGAGAATGCAAATTCTCTACTTCAGAAGATTTTGTTGTTGTTGTTACCTTTAGAGATCAGTGCATTGGATACAAAGTGATTCAAAATTATTGTTAAAAAAATGTTCAGATAATTCAACTGTACAAGACTTTCTTACACTTGTAAATGTACCTACCTTTAGGCCTTTATCTATTTATCTCTATTATTATTATTACTGTGTAATATAGTTTGTAAACTAACTTCAGTATATTGTCTATACATACTGTATTGTATAATATTATATATAATCTTTGTAAAAATTAAAAATATGATCCTTATATTGTCAAGAATGGATCGAAACTTCCCATTTCATTTAAGAACAGTACAATAACCTAGTCTAGATCATAGTCTTATAATTATTTAGCTTACAGGATATCAGTAGAGAATTACGATATTCAAAGGAAATTATAGTTCGGATTTCAATCCTATTATTATTCAAGTAAAGTCGCTGACGGGCAGAAACTGCTGGTTTTGGATTTTTCCTAATCGAGGTGAATACACTAGTTTTTATGCTGAATCAATTACCACTACCAAAACCGACATGAAAAAGTATTAGAGAAAAAACCGGCAGTTGTGGTTCGGACAGTGGACCGTAAAGTATAGTTTCTCAAATTCGCTAACAAAAAAGTAAATCTTGAACATTTTTGCATCATGTCTAAACTTCGTGAGTGGCAGTTCCAATCCTCCAACGAAAAGCGAGCCTTTCTGTAAGTACGTTTTTTAATATTAATAGTTTTAGTTTTATCGTTTTGTTTTTATTTGAGTTGGATGTATCTCGCTGGGAAATTGGTCAATTCATCTCATGCTCGAATTGTTTTTTTATAAAGATGAATAAATTTGTGAAGTGGAGTTGAATTCTTTGATTATAATTTTCGTAAAACCTCTTGCAAGCGAGTTAGTTCGAGTAACGATTGTGGGGGTTAGAACCCGCTCGTGACAATATAAGAGGATGAATCTGTATGGAATGTGAATGCTCTTGATTCAATATAAAGTACTTCATTATTAACAAATCGCACACAACTGTATATCCATTTTTCTATGTCCATAATTATATCTGAGAATATTCCTTCTCTAGGAATAAAAATATGAGGGTATATTCATTTTACTTGATTCTTTGGGATTTTCTCTCCTCGTTTCTATAAAATAAAAATATTTTTTCAATATATTTGTAGTGGGACAAATCAGATGATTTGCCCCAAAATGTCACTGCGTTTAACGAATTTTTCTATCAGGGAGTCTAAAAGAAAAATCCAGTAGCTTGTCAGTGACAATTTGTTTGAAAAAATGTTTGAAGGAAAGAAATATAGATATATTGAAAAAATATCGAATTTTTACTTATCTTTGGACGTTTCGGGACCGAATCGGCTCCCGTTCTCTATAAATGCAAAATATTTTTTTCTCCGCCTGCTATGAAAAGTAGCACATTTCTCATAGCTTACTTAGTTTCAAAACCATGTATTGCCCATACTGTGAGAAATATTTGTTCTCACGGCACTTTGCCAACACCACAAACATTTCCATAGCGAATCAACAAAAATCGACCAAAACTTGGCTGCTGTTCAGCTATGAATAGTTGTCACAACTGTCAGAAGAGTTTTTCACAATTCATAATAAATAATATGATGTATATACCGAGATGTGACGATTTTGATGAATATATCGCGAGATACAGAGATAATGGAAAAAGCTGCGAAAGTTGGATTTGTTTCCGGAAATTTCAAGAAAAAAGTATGAATTGGCATATTGGTACGAAAAATTTAGGGAATCTAAAAAAAAAGGAATACATTGTTTTTTTCTACAAGCGTGCGTGATTCACCCTATACCCGCACGCAATTTAGTTTGGCAACATTGCGGGAAAAACAAAGACATGATAATATGGCAAAATATAAGATGATAGGTGATGGAATATGAGAGTTTGAGTTTGTTTGTTGCAGTATTGAGTATTTTATGTTCAGAATCATTCATCAAATTGTACTATTGTACTAATTAGGAAATATTGAAAACTAAAAATTTATTATTATAAAAATCCCCCTATAGATTTGGATTGATCTGGTGGGATACGATTATTGTTGTCATGCCAATCAAACCTCAAATGAGTTTGTAATTTTCGAAGTGACAGACACAGCATTACTGTCATTTTCGATTCAGTGGAATTGCCACAATGTGATGAAAAACTTCCAGCTATAGGGATACGATACAGATGCCTCATTGCCAACGAAGTCTTAAGAAAGGTATGAGAAGCTATACACGCGTTTTATTGAATGGTGCAACAGTAAAGAAATGAAAATACCGAATAAAGATGACGAATTCTTGGCTCATTTCCTAGAAGTGTCTGAAACCTAGAGACCAAACACTTTATGGGCCTGCTGGCTTCCGCAATGAACCTATACAAAATGCGTCAAACTATAAGTTCACAATAGCATACAATTGTAGAAAAAATATTGTTCCTAACTCATGCGGAATGTGTCTTTCCCGCACTCGACTGCTTGCCCGAACTCCGCTTTGCGTCGTTCGTGTCAACGGCAGTCGCATGCGGGAATGAATCACTTTCCGCACTTGTTAGGAAAATTACTATTTCGGAAAGTGTACTTTTTTGAAATACTTGAGGAACTAGGACAGACGTCTACTCACGAGGAGAGAAAATCCCAAAGAATCAAGTAAAATGAATATACCACCTCCTCGATTAACCTACACGCAGTATATGAGGGTATGTTTTTGTTTTTTGAGATCGAGGATCGTTACAAACCTGACGATCTTCTTGATGGCCGGCGTCCCGGGAGGGGTTTTCCCTGTCTTTAGGGAGGAACATCTCCGCACCCTGGGTATCCTTGATTCCCCGTCGTCCTCGTCGTATTCTGGATCGTTAAGGTAGTTCGAGGGGTCGCCGTTCCAATAGTCCGTGGTGGTTTCTACCGCGGACGAGTCCACCACAAAGACACCGTTATCTGGAAGAGACATTTATTTTATTTATTTACCAATATGGGGGTTACAAACAGATTGAACAATCCAAAACAGAACTCTCTACTTAATACAGTCTGTCCAAGATAAGGTTGAACAGCATGGGGATCTAGGATACGGTAGGAGATACGAAGTCGCTTAAATGGGGAAAAAGTTGCGCATTCGGAGGCTCATATCAAGAGCCTTCGAGAATTTTGAAAATCATTTTTAGTTTTTGAGTTATATCGAAAAAAGTGAATTTTTGGAATTTCTATTTTATTTTTTTTTCTCCGTTATTATCAGAGATACAGAAAAACTGAAAATACTTTTTCATTGCAACTTTTGATGAGGTTTAACGTGGTGATACCGATTTTTTTATGCGACGTTTCGTATTCGTGGAACCATCATCAACTTTTTTTTTTTAAATACGGTCCTGATAATTTTTTCACAGATTCTGAAAGGTTTTTTTATTCTGAATTCAACAATGTACTATACAAAGTGATTCGAATGTGTTTCGACCTATTTCTATCCATCATCAATGTTTTTTCGAACTTCCAAAAGAAAAAAAGCCATCAGTTCCACTTATTTCTTATCATTTAGTGTCAAACTTGATGGATTAGTTATTCAATACTGAAAAGTGAATAAAAAATATTTCACTACATCATTCGATCAATGCAGCGTTTAAAATTGTTGATGAATTCTTACACGAATTACTTTAACAACTTAACTTTGACAATACCTACAGAGACATTCATAACAAATGTTCAAAATGAAAACCATTATTTTCTGAACAAAGATATCCTCTTCTCACAGTTGTTTCTAAGACATTGCTAAGCATTTCTGGGGTTATTCTATTGAATGCTTCGAAGACACTGTCCCTTAGTTCTTCTTCATCCTCAAAGTTATTTGCGTGTACAAAGTTCGATATATCCCCTAAGAAAAAATCCAGCTGTGTCAAATCAGGCGACCGCGCCGGCCAAGGGATAAAAACGCACGGACTTCTCTGGAATTATATACCGGAGCGCCATCTTGTTGAAACCAACAACTTCCGCAATCGGTAAATCATAATCCAGAGCTTTCTCAAGATGATTCTCAAGCGAATTTCTATAACGTTCGGAAGTCTGTGTTTCATGGTAAATAGAAGGAACAATAATTCGTGTACCAAATATTGCAACCCACATATTAAAGCCGAAACGGTGTTGGTGTCTCGCTGTAATGTATAAATGTTCATTTTCTCGTGAACAATAATGTGTATTTTTTCTATCGAAGCTACCATGATTAGTGACCATGCTTTCATCAGTCCAGATGATTGTTCGAAAGAAATCTGCAAAATTTTAACATTTCCTGGTATACCACTCACAGAATGTCTTGCGCCTTTCGTCATCTCCTGGTTTTAGCGCTTGACATATTCTGAATTTGTATGGATGGAATTTTTGTTTCCGCAAAATGAAATAGGTTGTTGATTGAAACCAGTTGATGAGGTATTAGTGTGTTGACTAATTTTCCTTCAAAATAAGTGGAACTGATGGCATTTTTCCTTTGGAGTTTCGAAAAAACATTGATGATGGCCAAAAATACGTCGAAACACAAATGAACCACCTTGTATAATACATGGTTGAATTCAGAATAAAAAAACCTTTTAGAATCTGTGAAAAAATTATCAGAACCGTATTTAAAAAACAAAAGTTGATGATGGTTCCACGAATACGAAACGTCGCATGAAAAAATCGGTATCACCTCGTTGACCGTCATCAAAAGTTGCTATAAAAAAGTATTCTCAGTTTTGCTGTATCTCTAATAATAACGGAGAAAAAAAATAAAATAGAAATTCCAAAAATTCCCTTTTTTCGATATAACTCAAAAACTCGCTCAAAAACTAAAAATAATTTTCAAAATTTTCGAAGGCTCTTGATATGAGCCTCCGAATGCGCAACTTTTTCCCCATTTAACCGATTTCGTATCTCTTACCGTTTTCGAGATCCCCATGCTGTTCAACCTTATCTTGGACAGACTGTATATCAGTTAGTGGGTTGTAAACGAGAAAAGAAAAAAAAAACAAACGGAATGTAAATTATGGAATAAGAAATAGTAAATTCAGTTATACATCGCACTAAACATGATACATATTTCAGTTATATCCCAGCGAGCACAAAAACATCTCGATTTCGAGACATTGAAACTCCACTGCGATGTTCTGTTCACACATGAATAGAACTATTATAGAACAGCCAATGTTCGCCGCAGGCGGCAATTATCGAGATGTCCTTGATATGTCACAAAACTACCTTCTTCCTAGTTCTTTTTAAAGCCTTTTCATGGACACAACAAAACATTTTCAACGCGTCTTGCGCACATTAAATCGCTGTAAAAATAGTTATTTATTATACAAGGGAAAAAAGTAGTAGATTTTAGCTCCAGGTTGTGTTGTCTCCCGACGCGTAGCGGAGGGAGACAAAAAACCGTGAGCTAAAATCTAATATTTTTCCCGTGTATAATACACTATTTTTTTCTGTGACAGAAGGAAGGACGAATCAATATTGAGAAGATATTACATTATTTCGAAATCTGAAAATTATCGACGTGAAATTTCAAGTTTTTAACAGTAGGGACACCTACGTTTTATAGGCATCTTCATCATTCTTTTGAAGTAATCAAATATCTGATGTCACTTCTGTCAGTTCAATTCTGTGATTTGATTTTGAAAATTTGCGAATTCAGTAGTTGTTTAGTAATATACGAAACCGCGAAGTCGAATGGAAGATAAAAGGACTTCCAGTTTTTTCTCGGAGACGGTATTATTGACTCATTTTTCGGAACTATAGCACAACAAAAGCCATTAACAGAGTATATATATGTGATATATATCCGGGAAAGAAGTACTCACTTTTTTCCCACGGGAAAAAAGTAATTTATGAAAAGTGACATTTTATAACCTGCCAACAGAGATGAAATGCCAAACTTTTTTCCCGTCACAGAAAAAAAACATTTTCAAGATAGTCGAACGGAAAATATAGGTTTAATCACAATAATTTTTCAAAAGCTATACTGACGAAGGATGATAATTCTAGTACGGAAAATAAGTGACCAAATTAACTGAATAAAACGAATCGAATAGATGAAACTGTCAATTAAAACCATAGAATTATTTATAACTATGGCCGTTAACATTTTTGCCACTGATTCGAAAAATATCTACAGGGTGATTATTATTCTCCCCGGAAAAGTAAATTACTAAATCCAGGGCTGATGAAAATAGAATAATATGTTGATTTCCATTAAGCTGAAGCATTGAAAATGTAAGCCTTACTTTTATTCTTGAAATTAATGGATTGTGAAGTATTAATTTCCAATAAATACATTTTTCGCTTAACTTTCGTCTTTTCATAAAATGTGTTGTTTTTTTCGAAATGCAGGAAAAGTGTGAGGAAAATTCTGAATATCTTATTTTTGATGTTCGTTCGTGACCTTTGAAAATATCCTGTCACAGTTTACAAAAACGATATACAGGATGAACTTTCTGCTATAAACGAAACTTTCGAAATTTTTCAAGAACGGTCCTGGATTTTCCCGATTCTGACTGAGTCAGATGAGAGAATTGTAGCGGAGAATATTCCGAAAATTTTCCCTTTTGAAATACAATTTATACTTTTTGAATTCAACTTGACGTTTCTTGAACTAAAATTGAAAAAGGTGTAGTTTACCTCTATACCCCTCCTACCTTTCTCTTGTTTATCCAATTCCCCATCTCTCTCGTCGGCAATCCCTCCATCAACTTCGACACTCACATCATCTTCCTCCAACCTCGAAACGTCCGTCAAAGACCCGTTCACTGTCAAAGAAGGACACCCCTCCTCCCTCAAACTCAAAGTGGACGCGTCCTCAGTCGAAGAACTAGATTGCTGCGGCGTGCAATCCGAAGTGGAGGCGAAACTACCCGAAGTGGTGGCGAAACTGTCCGAAGTGGTGGCGAAACTGTCCGAATGCAAGTTGCTGAGGCTGCTGCCCTCGGAATTGGCGTTTCCGTTGAGGATTGGTCTTTGATCCACGTCGTTTTCGGTGTCGTAGAAGGAGCCATCGCTGTCGCTGTCGTTGGAGAGGGAGTTTTTTTGGGGGTCCTTGCCGCACTGACAACCGTCGCTATGCGAGTGCCTGTGAGAAATCATTTCTCTTATTTCGAAGCATTCCATATACAAGGTGTCCGCTAAAAGGAGGTCAATCCATTAACCATACAGTGTCTTTCAAAAGTATCGGAACGGTCTCATATTTCAGGAACGGCTTGAGAAAAATTCACGAAATTTTCTACAGGGTAATTATTGATGATGTCCAATTCAATTGTGGTATCGGCAATGTTGCCAAGTTTACAGTTTTTCAGATATTAGGAGTAACTTCATTTTTTCAAATAGAATACCCGATTTATTTTTATTGCAATTAATTAAGCGCCTCCTAATTACTCGAGTCCCTGAATATCAGATTCGTAATTAACGTGATTTTCGAAATATGACAACAAAGCACTTTCGTTAAAAAGTTCTGGAACGGTCCCATATTTCAGAAACGGCTCAGAGAAAATTTATGAAAACTTCGGCAGGATGGTTGTTGATGATGCCCGATTCAATGGTGATATCGGCAATGTTGCCAAATCAACAGTTTCTCAGATATTTGGGGTAACTCGATTTTTTCAAATGGAATACCCTATTTGTTTTCATTGCAATACATTCAGCGACGCCTCATTACTTATGTCTCCAAATATCAGATTTTAAATTGAAGTGGTTTTCGAAATATGACAACATGGCATTTTAAAATCTGATATTTGGAGACATAAGTAATGAGGCGTCGCTGAATGTATTGCAATAAAAACAAATAGGGTATTCCATTTGAAAAAAATGAGTTACCCTAAATATCTGAAAAACTGTTGATTTGGCAACATTGCCGATATCACCATTGAATCGGGCATCATCAACAACCATCCTGCCGAAGTTTTCATGAATTTTCTCTGAGCCGTTTCTGAAATATGGGACCGTTCCAGAACTTTTTAACGAAAGTGCTATGTTGTCATATTTCGAAAATCACGTTAATTACGAATCTGATATTCAGGAACTCAAGTAATCAGGAGGCGCTTAATTAATTGCAAAAAAAATAAATGGGGTATTCCATTTGAAAAAATAAAGTTACTCCTAATATCTGAAAAACTGTAAACTTGGCAACATTGCCGATGCCACCATTGAATCGGACATCATCAATAATCACCCTGTAGAAAATTTCGTGAATTTTTCTCAAGCCGTTCCTGAAATATGAGACCGTTCCGATACTTTTGAAAGACACTGTATATTCCTTGAACAAAAACAATATGAGTTTCTAAATACCATTTTTCAATTTTGCACTCCATATTCGATATACAGGTTGTCAAAGTTGGAAATTAAAAACTGTTTTTTTTTTAATTACTCGCGTATTTAATAAGATATTAATCTCAAAATTGGTACATTACTTCAGCACAAAGAGTTACATCGTGTGAGGAAAACAAAACAGAAAATAACTGTAAAATATTCAAAATACGGGGGGTCAAGTACACACTTACCCCCATATTTTTTTGCACGTGCGCTAATGACTCCCTATCTATTTTTCTTCAAGTGTTCGATCATTTTTGAGTATTTTTTGTCTCCTGTGAAATTTCGATAAAATTATTTGTTTTTAAGATAATTCGAAAAGTACTGGTTATTGTTTGATGCTTATGCGGCTAACGGTAATCTCATAATGTTCACATACTCCTATTTATTTCGTCGAAATTGGAAGTGGGCTTAACTTTTCACGTCCGAAAAGGTGAATATGGAAATACTGGGTGCTCAGAGCGAATGTATTAAAATAATTTTTACAAAAAAAAAATTGATAGAAATTCAACACGTTTAATTTAATTTCCAACATTGAAACCCTGGTATGGTATTTAGAAACTCATTTTGTTTTCGTTTAAGGAATATATGGTTAAAGGATTGACCTCCTTTTAGCGGACACCCTGTATAGTGTGGCCATTTAAGTGTGCAACATATGGGAGTCTTTAATATACAAGGTGATTCTAAAATAGGTGGTCAAATTCTGGGAGCATATAGAGTGGGTGAAATAATTACGAAAACCTCTGTAACATTTTTTTCTGAAGTGACCCCCAAGAAAGATACAGCCCCTCAAAGGGGGGCCTCGGAGAATGATTTCGTATTATTATCTCCAACACCTTGTATAATGAAAATCTGAAATTTTGTCTATCCACTTACTATTCAGTGCCGGTTCGAATGGGGTTAAAATCACCTCAAAATAAAATACAGGGGTGTCTCAAAATAGGGAGGTAGGGGGTAAAAATAACCCCAACTTTTTTGTTCATCGCAATTTCAGTTTTTTGACATGAAATTATGAAATCTCAGGGCTATTTACATGAAAAAGGTGCTCTTGTTGCATCTCGATAAAATTAACTATTAGCGAATAAAATTTAAAATAAGCTTGTTTTTAACAATATTTTTCATTTTAGTATTTTCAATAGGATCAGACCATAATCACGAAACTCGTCGTCTATTGTTAATTCATCAATTCCGACAATGAATTCAAAATTTCCAACCCCAAAAACCCTTACAAACCAATTTTGAATCGAATCGAACCATAATAACAAATCTGGTCAGCCACATTGGAGCCGCCATATTTTTTTCTATCAAAAAGTCCATAACGCGTTGTCAACTGTCATCTGCCAGATTCCAAGTTGATCAGACGATTAGAAGTAGGTGAAAATTCAGTTGCAAGATTTGAACTAGATAATTAAACTCAAGTGCATACCAAAATTTCAATTTAAATGAAATCTTGGAAAAATAAATTTTATTCGCTAATGGTTCATTTTATCGAGATTCAACAAGAGCTCCTTTCCTATGTTAATAGCCCTGAGATTTCATAATTTCATGTAAAAAAACTGAAATTGCGATGAACAAAAAAGTTGGGGTTATTTTTACCCCCTACCTCCCTGTTTTGACACACCCCTGTATTTAATTCTGAGGAGAATTTAACTCCATTCGAACCGGCACTGAATAGTTAGTGGATAAACAAAATTTTAGATTTTCATCATACAAGGTGTTGGAGAAAATCATCGAAAAATCATTCTCCGAGGCCCCCCTTTGAGGGGCTGTATCTTTCTTGGGGGGCACTTCAGAAAAAAATATTACCGAGGTTTTCGTAATTATTTCACTCACTCTATATACTCCCAAAGTTTGACCACCTATTTGAGAATCACCTTGTATATAAAAATATAATATAAAAAAAATTACAAATTGGAATATTATTAACGAAAAAAATTAAATACTCAAATATGTCTTAGGAGGCCATGTTTTGGTATATTGGCATAATTGCAATTGCAAACAACTTTTCTCATTAACATTTTGCTGAATTTTCTGATATAAGGGCACTTTACTCTTGAACAACTTTTATATTTTTTGACCTACCCTGTATATGCTGTTTGATTAGCAGTGATTGAAGTGCACCTGAAATGATTACCAAACATACACCAATTTTCGGCACTATCTGTATTTTGCTTGTGCAATTCATTAAAAGATTCCCATATGTTGCACACTTAAATGACAACACTGTATATATAGATATATACAGGGTGATTCACGGTGGATGGCATATTAGACGTTTCTGGAGAAGTCAGGATTATTTTAAATAGTGCCTTGGATAATTAGTTGTGCCATCTTAAATATTCTCAGCGTTGCGACGTTGCCGCTTATATTGAAAAGTAGCAACAACTTTGATTTTTTCAATGGAACACCATGTATATCATTCCATTTTCGGATTCTCCCTGAAAAGCTGATTCCATCGATCTATCACACTTGGGGTCTAGCGGGAATGATAACAAAGATATAGGGTGTGAAAAATCGAAATTGTACAACTTTAAGAATTTTCTGTGTCGAAACAATTCATAATAATTGATCAAAACGGTTTTCATGTCCCTATCTTAACTATCAATTGATATTTAATTGAAATAGATAGAGGGTGATCAAAATTCTGAATCTTGGACCATCCTGTATTTTTTCCAATTAAATGTCGGTAGATAGTTAATCAAAAGTTAATATAGGGACATGTAAGCCGTTTTGACCAATGATGAATAGTTTCGACACAAAAAATCTTAAAGTTGAAAAATCTCGATTTTGAACACCCTATATCTCTGTAATAATTCCTGCTAGACCCCAAGTGTGATGCATTGATGAAATCAGCTCTTCGAGAAGAATCTAAAAACGCAATAACATACAGCGGTGTTCTATTTGAAACAACAAAGATGATGCTACTTTTTGGTAAAAGTGGCAACGCTGCTTCGCTGAAAATATTTTGAATCGTTAGATCACGAACGCTTATTAGAGTAACCAAATTTTCAGGATAATCCAATGTACCGTTTTCCGTATACGTCTAAGGTACCATCGACCGTGGGCCACCCTGTATATGTACTATATGACAGTAGGTAAAGTATAGTACGTAATGCGTGTTGTAAAGCAATTACGCACTTTTCCATTCGTGCGTAATATGCTTCTTAGAACACAAATATTTGTTTTTATCGCCTGGAGCGCACGGAAGGGAAATGCGTTCCTAGGGAGAATAGGGACAGGAGGTAAGTATTGGAATTTTTTTTGAACTTCTGTAGGTTATATGTTGTTGGGAATACTTCCTCAGGCAATAAATTCCAGAGCCTAGCCGTTCTATGGATGAAGGAGTTTTGATAAAGTGCTGTTCGACATCTTTCGAGGTTGACAACGAAAGGATGTGCTGACTGGGCTTGTCTAGTTCGTCTGACTGGTATTTCTAGTGAAGGGATGATAGCAGAGATTTCCGAAGAACATTTCCCGTGGAAGTATCGATAGAAAAGTGGAAGGTCGCCGACCTTTCTACGGTGTTCTAATGATGTCAAAGAGTGAGTGAGTGTGGCGTCACCCACCAAGCGAATGGCTCTTCTCTGGATGGAATCTAAGAGCATCAGCGTATGTTTTGGTGCTGAACCCCAAATGTGGGAACAGTATTCTAGAACAGGCCATATCTGCGCTTTGTAGATCATGAGAAGCTGTTGAGGTGTAAAGTAGCTTTTCGCACGGAACAAGAATCCGAGTTTACTATTACGTAATATACTATTATTGTACTATACCTGAGTGTGTCCCTATTGATCGGCGCGCACATTTCTTCCATTTCCGGCTCATCATCCGGACTGGCAGGCGACTCTGGCAGCTCCAAATCACAATCCAAGTGTAGCAGCCTCGGCTGCGCCACCGCTACGGGCAGACAGTCGGAATCTTCACGGGCGGCAGCCAGCCAACTGCTCTCGTCCGGCGAGCCGTTCCTGTCTTGATCGTCGTGCTCGTTCGTGCCCAGGGATGTGAGCTTGGTGTGTAGGCGACGAGCGAACGCCTGCGCTCTGCCTCTGCACGACATCGATATCAGGCTGCCCAGGCTGCACTTTTGGCCTTCCGCAGTCATGGGTGGTCTGGATAGATAGATAGATATAAATGTATTTATTTAACACTAGCAGACCTCGCAAACGTTGTTTTGCTATACTGGGTGTCCCAAAATTAACCTGCCAAACTTCACCAGCGGCTTCTACGATCGAAAATAGGAGGCGGAGGTTCAATGAACATAAGTCGAAAAATGTCTCCCAAGGAAGCTACGGTCCCCTCAGAGGAGGCTCCTGAAGATGATATCTCTTGAGTATTTCCGAAACTCCATGTGATAAAAAGATGCAATTTGGTACAAGAAATATTTCCATGCCGAATGCAGTGAGAATGAAATTATTTCGAAATTTCAATCAGGAGTGCATAATACAGGGTGGGACTACATTAAATACTGCCTGAAAATTTTTGTATGCATATTTTCCGACAATTCAATCTCGTATTATGGAATTTCACAACTATTCACAGAAAAGAGGTACTCTTGTGCCGTCACGATCAGATGTATAATTATCGAGTGAAAGCAGTTCAAAAATATTGTTACATCTCATATATCATGCCTAACATGGCAATGAGGCGTAGTGGAAATGGAAAAAAATGCACAAAAATTGAACTAAATAGTTGTTTCATAATTTTTTTTTTTGCTTAGGGTGTTGAAATTTTATTTTTTTATTACCATTCCCAAAATGAACTTTCATAATGTAAAAAACTGTCACCTTTATAAGAATACTTGTAAAAATAAGACCGCAACGTAATAAATCAATTATCATTATTTCAAATACAAAATAGGGCACCACCCTATACTAGTTCAAAATAATTTTGTTTTAGATACCACTCGAGATACCACAAATGCATGAACATTGTTTTTATTTTTTTACGCGAAAACGGGTCGTCGGACGGGAAAAAAATTCAGGAGTCAAATTGTTGCAAAATGAATGGAGATTTCAAAAATAATTTTTATTTTCGAAAAAAGCAAGGCATAACATTTTTTTTCAAATCTCCAGTATACATCCCACACGGACGCCACTGGTAGAAATGATAAAATATCTCCTGCATTAGAAAATGCCTACTGGTACTTAGAGATGCATGTCCAATTTCATGAAAATATCTAGATCAGTATTGAAATTATGATAATAAAACGAATTTTTTCTTAAAATTTCAAGACCCTATAGCTAGCTCAAAAGTTGAAAGGTTTAGGGCATATGTTCATATGAACTTTTCTTCTTAAAATGAGCCAATGAACCATATTTTCAGCTATCAATTGAATTACACCCTGTATACAGTGTGTCCCTAAATGGTCTGTACTAGATCTCAGCACATATTCCTGTGGTCAAAATAAGCCGATTTAAAGAAACTCACTTCAGTCCGAAATTGCTCCATTTTCGAGATATCAATTTTCCTTGCAACAAAAAAGTACATTTGTTATTACTGATACTGAACCACAAAAATTCTACTTTTTTGGTATCCATATAGGTTCTAATGGATGAGAAGTGAAACAACCTGTGTATATTTTGATATGTACGAAATTTCAGTGCAGATTCTCACATTGCATGAACAGGGACACCAAAATCGTATTTGTTTTTTCAATACCTACTATTTACTTAACGTCATCAAGCAGAAGTCGCAGGACTATTTTTTGAAATGGCTAAATATATTTTTCTAATTTTATTTCCTCCTGAACGATAATAATCCCAATTATATCTCGAATTATATCCATAACTTATTTAGTGTTTCATTCAAAACAATTAGGCCAAATCTGAAACTGTCGATATTCCATTTCTGTTATCAATTTCTATTTTTGATTTAATGCTCCTGTTGTGCGTCACAGGTTTTTGATCTATATGCTCTGGCAAACCTTCGCCATTCATCATTATTTTTATCGAAATTATTTGAATGGAATTTTATTTAGACTACAGATCCGAAACGATAGCACAAATTGACAATTTCCAACAGCTGAAGTGAGATTAAGTTTTTTAATTACCATGATAATTATTCACAACAGTAAACATTCATTGATGATTATAATTCCATGCATTTTTCGAAGAGCATTGTCGAAGATAACAATAGTACTGGTTTCGTTCTCATTTGAACTCCTCACTTCTCAGTATGTACCAAGTCAACGACAGTTCTCAACACACTCATAATTTGACTCTATTTCGAAGACCTGTATTTCTTGAAAAAATTGTCCGATCTTCATGCGGGTTTCGATATCAGATGTGATATTTCATCGGCTTCAAAGAGAGCTAGAACACTCTGATATCGATGATTCTTATCAACTGATTTCCAATATTTATGGCCCAAATATGAGACAGAGAGTATTGTTGGTCAGTATACTGAGTGTTCCACAATCTAACAAATTTCAACCACATATACAATATTACATAAGAAGTCGATCACATAATAATTTTATAGAAGTAAAACGAGATGGAAAATAAAATTTATAACACTATTGGCAAAATATGACATTAGTGGATTCTTCAGCATTATGAAGATCCAACTAAAAAGTTATATATCCTAAATTTCAGTACTTAGTAGGGCCTCCCCGATTTAACAAAACCTCACGAAATCGGTTTGGCATAGATTCTATGAGGTAGTTGATGAAGTCTATTGATATTGACTCCCATTCTTCTGATATAGCTCGAACAAGGTTGTCATTATTGTGGGGTGCCTCTCGCCTTCTTGATAGGTTAAGTTTCATTCGGCTCAACACATGTTCAATCAAATTCAGATCTGGAGATAATGCTGGTCACCACATTCTTCTAATAATATTGTTTTATAGAGTTCGTAATTTGTCAGATAAGTTGTGAAACACTCAGTATATTGAACAACAATACTCTGTGTCTCATACTTCGGCAGTTTGAACTGGCATTTACCTATAATTGCCAGTTTGAACTGGCATTTAGCTATAATTGCCAGTTTGAACTGGCAATTAGACATAATTGCCAGTTTGAACTGGCAATTAGCCATAATTGCCAGTTTGAACTGGCATTTAGCTATAATTGCCAGTTTGAACTGGCATTTAGCTATAATTGCCAGTTTGAACTGGCAATTAGCCATAATTGCCAGTTTGAACTGGCAATTAGCCATAATTGCCAGTTTGAACTGGCATTTAGCGCTTCCGTACGAAAGGATCTAGTCATGTTATCGCCATCTAGTGACGCCAAGAAACGCGAACGATTATTTCGACCAACGCAAAGGGCGAGTGGACTGATAATGACTTATTGCCATTCAATCACTCCACTGTGTCGTTAGAGACCTATATTGTTCAACAAGGACGGAATGATAGTGATTTTCCCCTATAATGAAATTTGCAGCCTGAGCCGTGGGCGAATGATACTGCAATCATTCGAGTGGGAAATTAGCATTCCCTGCGAGTTATACACCATAATTTTTTTACGGCTGTGACAGATAACAGCGACATTTTTGATTTCTTCGTCTTGTAGCCATCTGATTTCCTCTTGAGTAATGCGCATCTATTAAACAGAGCTCACATTGCTTGAACTGTGACATTACATTTGCGGGGTACTTTCGTACGATAGCACTAAATGCCAGTTCAAACTGGCAATTATGGCTAAATGCCAGTTCAAACTGGCAATTATGGCTAAATGCCAGTTCAAACTGGCAATTATGACTAATTGACAGTTTAAACTGGCAATTATAGCTAAATGCCAATTCAAACTGGCAATTATGGCTAATTGCCAGTTCAAACTGGCAATTATAGCTAAATGCCAGTTCAAACTGGCAATTATGGCTAATTGCCAGATCAAACTGGCAATTATAGCTAATTGCCAGATCAAACTGGCAATTATAGCTAATTTCCAGATCGAACTGGCAATTATTAAAAAAAAGTATCATGTTCGTTCAGCGCTTTCGTACCATGGTTTTAGTCACCATTTTTAATTGTTTTTACTGAAATGAGATTTTTTCCTAGTTTCTTATCATCCTGTATATTCTACAATAGTGCTTATTTCATTGTCCTTCACAAAACATGAGAACATTTCTTCCCAATAGTCAGCTCAAGTGGAGTTCTAGAGAAAAAATTCAAGAAATGCAAGACTTCCGAAAAAAAATTTAATCTTTGTTCCAATGGCCAATGAAGGAGTAATCAGGAAAACGTCCCGAGATGAGGTCCCAGTGTATAATATGACTGATATTTGATCAGAAAAAAATTTCTGGAGTTCTGGCAGCATTGGAAATGTAGACCATAGTGTAATGGTTCCACTTTACACCCTGTGTAAGTTTTGTTCTACGGACTTTTTCAGAGTGTTCTAAATCTCTCTGAAGACGATGAAACATCTCATCTGATATCGAAAACCGCATGAAGATCGGACAATTTTTTCAAAAAATACAGGTCTTCGAAATAGAGTCAAATTATGAGTGGTCCATTTAGTGTGTTGAACTGTATATCTATGCTCAAGGGCGCCAAAGAGGGGCGGGGTGGGGAAGCTGCCCCCTCCCCCCTACGTTCAACGCTTACCAGTCACCCTGCTATAATTTTTTTTATGTTCTTGTGCCCACGAATAAAAAATAGCCTGTATTGTTCAGAGAACATCGTGAGAACCAAGGGAAATAAGGTAGGAATTGGTGTTCTTCCTCCCTTGGCAATGTTTTCCGAAGCTCCTCGAGAACCTCGCTGTTCGTTGGATGAACGAGTCTTTGGAATGATATGTTCTGCAGGTCTCCAAAGTGACCACGAACAGGTGCAAAGCCTCAACTCGGACGGGTTAATCTCGCGGGGACTGCCAAAGGAGGAAGAGTTGATGATATTTCAGAAGAGCATTGTCCATGAAAATATCTATGAAAAAAAGCCTTATGGGTAATCCGGGCCTGGTCACATTTTTGGTCCTAATAAAACAACTCAGTTAACACAGGATATCTTATGGATATCCATTGCAAGTCCTATTCAAGGATATCCGAGGACATAAAATGTTTATCCATAAGATATCCGATTGCGGATGTACTTAAAATATCCGAAACAAACGTCCTGAATACGTCCATAGGATAGGTATCCATAAGATACAGAGACAAAAGATCAATACCTAGAAATTTAAAATGAAGTATATACAATGAATGAAATGATAAATAAATAAAAGGAGATGCACAAAAGTAACACTTTTGCGTGGGTCTTCCAAAAGATAGCACACATTGTGATGCACTATATCTGCTTTCATTATTAATTCGGTTTTCAAAAACAGCGTGAGGTGACGTAACGTCTCAAATAGTCCATGAATGGTAGAACTGATGATTATTTATAGCTCATCGATTCTACCAACCTCGGAATAGTCAAATAATGTCAATCTGTTCTCATATTTAATTAATTTGAGGTGAATTTGGAAGTGATTCCTACGAATTCGTCCAAAATTAATGATGCATAAGAATTGACAACTACATTATTCGAACGCAGTGAGACGTGAGTGCTTCCCAATTTTTGTGAGTTTTTCTATATATAGGGTATCTATAGTTGATATCTTATAGATATCCATGATGAATATCTTTAAGACATCCAAAAAGGTCACACTGTCCCATCCTATGGACGTCCATAGGATATATACCAGAGCCTTTTTCGGATATCTTATGAACATCCACAATATCCATAAGATGTATTTGTGCTAGTTGTGCTATCTGGAAATGTACTATTTGAACCCCTTAGAATGACTGTAGGGTAGATACTTTATATCGTCATGCAACTGGTTCTATTGTTCTTTCAAGAGTTTTGTTATTCTTCATTTTGTTTGAATAAGATTGGATAGCTGCAATAGACTGATATTGTTATTTTCTCGGCATCCAATTATAGATTTTGTTCAGCGAACATTATTTGATCGTGGATACTTACTATCTTTGTATGGAAGAGTACTGGATATGCTTGATTGATCACAATAATATACCAATTTAGAGATGATGGTGAAAATCACTGACGCTGATCCGAATAATCAGAAGTCTGGTCTTTGACCTTTATTTAGTCGTCTGAATTGAATATTTGTTATGAAGTATATATAGTAGGTCCAGTTGAGTAGTAATCGGCATTTCCACCGAAAACTTCTTGAATGTACCGGACGGAAAGGACGCCGGCTGTATCTCGGAAACTATATTTGCCGTACAGGTTTCGGAAAAAAATATTTATGATAAAAGTGGCCAAGAAAAATCTCTAGAAATTATTTTCAAGTTTCCAGGACAGCCGCTAGAGGGCATAATTGCATTGGCCAACTTAAAAAACGGTTTTTTTTATGAAAATTTGATATATCAAGACATATCAAAATAGTTATTTATGTAATAAGGATCATAAAGACGATCATTATGGTACAAGTCGTGAATGTTATCGGGCGAGGCGTAGCCGATTAAACATTTTCGAAAAATTAAAAACTGCATTTTCGAAATGTCACAATGACAAATATTTTTAAAGGAGTAAGTATTGTGTAGTTTCAAATATTAGTAGGTGAGTGAGCTGTGCTTTGCCATTATATTAATATTACAAATTGTAGTAATTGTTCTTTTACGATTTATAATAAATAGTTTTGTACATAGTTATGCATTTTGAATAAACTTTTTTGATCAAACCATTACATGTTTTCCTTATAGAATTTCATTATGGTACTTAGTACCATAATGAATTCATTATGGTACTTAGTCCCATAATGAATTCATTATGGTACTTAGTCTCATAATGAGCTTCCTTATGTCATCAAAATTGAGTGACATAACGTTGTCATTATGACATGCCATCAGATAAACACTTTTTTCATGTTCTCGAGTTGATTTCCAATCATTTCGATAAAAAAAAATTGCGCTAGCTCTTTAAATAAAAGAGGGAGGGAAGGATGAATAGTACTTTGAAAAAACTCTCATTACTACAGTTTGGTGTAACGGAATTCAACGATCTTGGTCTCATTATGAAGGGTTTTTTTCTCGGTTTTTTTGTTTCTTCCAGATGAATCACGAATCAAGTCGATTTAAATCCTGTGGTGGCCGCTAGATGGCATCGTTTAAAAAATCAGACAATTTTCCATTTTTTTCGAAAATTTCAAATGGAACCATATATTCATCCTACTCTAATATGAAAGTAGAGCAAACGAGAAGAAAAATGGTGAAAACCGCGAATTGATACCTCTTGAGAAACCGGTGAAATCTCGGGTGAAATACTCGAAATAATATTATGAAAATATTCACCACAGGAATCTAACTTCAATAATCGTAATCAGAAATATCCTGTATCTATGAAATTATGATTTCAATAATTTATTTATTTTGGTTTCACAAACTGCTGTTATATCTCACAATAGTGAAGGAGACTCTTAGTAATGACAAAGCTAATTGAAATGTAATAAGTAGTGAGTATAGGCTCAGGAATGAGAAAAGGCAAGTTGGCTTCGAATGAAAGAAACGTCAAAATATAATTGAAGGTCCATTGGAAGTCTTCACTGTGGATTGCTTATTTGTCAAAATGCCGTTAACGAATGAGGAGGCATTTGACATGCTAACAGTTTAAATTTTAATATTATTCCGAGTATTTCTCCGGTTCTTCAAGAGGTATCAACTCGCGGTTTTCACCATTTTGCTTCTCGTTTATTTTACTTTCATATCATACCAGGAAAAATATATATTTCCATTTGAAATTCTCGAAAAAAAAAAGGCAAATCGGCTGATTTTTCAAACGATGCCATCTAGCGGCCACCACGGGATTTAAATCGACGTGATTTATCGGCAAGATCTGAGAAAACCCTTCATAATGAGCTCGAAAGCTCGAATGTTCGGGCATATATTCATAGGAACTTTTCTTCCTAAAATCCCAGAGAGCACAAAGTGCTTCTGAGAACGTTCTCAGAATATTCGCGTGGGAGATTTCTAATATTCCTGGAATATTCTCACAAGGTGCACTGACCTTACTCAAAATATTTTTCAGAAAATTATCAGAACATGCTATGAATATGAAGATCATCCTCAGAATGATCTAGGGATATTCTCCGTATATAGGGTATTTTAAAGCGCATGAAAAATATTTGAGGGATCTCTATACAGGGTCCTGCATCTCACAGCGGTTCCTCCGGTCTTCTATAGCTCAGTTATCAGTTGTGCCAGGATTTTGATAGAAAAATAACTTCGATTATACAGGGTGTCCCAAAAAAGTGTGACATCATAATGATATATTTTTTTAAATGGCATGCTATATATTTTGTTGCACATTTGAGTGCTTCCATCAGTGCTATCCTACATACTCCTGGAATTTAATTGAAATCGGTTCAGTGGTATTCACGTAAAAAAATATAACAAAAGAAATTATTTTACACCACTGGTCAAAAACATTAATTACAAAGAAGAGAGTGCCTGGTCAACAGAACCATAAGAGATACATATCAAATAAGGCCTAAGAAGATCGCTAACCGAGTTTGATTGACACGAATCATCACAGGGTGTGCAAAATTTAGTGGCCAAATTTCAAAGCACTATATTTTTCTTATTTCAAATTGGAGCCCCTGTATATTTTCATGGCATTCGATGCGTGAATAAAAAACAAACTTTTGTTCTTATTACAACCCTATCGAAATTATCATCGTATCAAAAGATATTTGCCGAAAACTCGTTTCATCAATTATTCTAAGAGTCATTTGAAACAATAAAAAACGAAGATGGCTTTGAGAAGTGAATTATTGACATTTGATTACATTAAATGTCGTGGAGATGACTTATTGGTGTATCATTCAGTATTTAATACTTTTGACTCCACTTTGACAAATCATGGACTTCTACCAAAGATTATTGGATAAGTTTGTATGAACCGAAAATGTAAAATATACAAAACCAGTTAGAGATAGACCGGTTCGAAATGAGAAAATAAATTGGCTGTGCTGTTATCTGTTACGGATATTAGGATGAAATGTTCTATGAATATTCTCTTAAAACATTCTATGAACATTCAAAACATCTTCATCATATTCTTTGAACGTTCTTCGAAATATTATGAAGTTGTGAACGTTGTTAGAGCAATAATAGAATATTCTCTGTGCTGTATGGCATGAAGTAACAAACCGTAATTAAATAACACTCTGTGTATATCTCATTATATATAGGTATCAGCTAGAACAGCATTTTTTATACATTATACCGATCAACTATAGGTAAGTTTATAAATACTCGTTATCACACTGCACTATCATGCTATAAGCTAAACAAAATACACACATAAACAATCATGACCTAGACCTACGACAACAATTTATTAGCCGCGATAAAATAAAAAATCCACGCATTAATCAAAATCCACATCGGAATGACTCGTCGTACCTGTATAAAAATCGACTCACCTGGGGCTCTCGGACGTCTTCCTCAACGAGGGTGGCAGATCGTCGTCGGGACGTCCAATCCTATCAGCGTCGCACCAACGCCGGGCATCGGCGGGTCACTCCAACTAGTCGGACAAGGTCACGACAAGGTCACCGAGTTGCGACACGACGGATCGCAGTGTGCCGCGCACGTTCCGTGGCCCACTGACGTTGTTTTCTGTATTGCCTGTGCTGCTGCTGCTGCTGCTGGGGCCCACACATATTTTCCACCAAAGGTCTATTTTCGTACTTTTCGGGTTTGTGTCGTTCGACGATGATTGTGTCCGCACCACGAACACGACTTTTGATGCGTTTTTCTTTGACTAGTGTCGCTTGCATATTATTGCCATGGCTGTCTTGATCTTGACGTGGTTTCGTGTCGTCAGATGTTTCACAGTGGCGTAGCCTAAGCCAGGCCAGCCCTGGACTGACATAACAACGTACGTATAGTCAGTGCATCATTTTTATCAGAAAACGGGGAAATATAATGGGGAAGTTTCCTTCAGATGAATTTTCATAAAATATAAGTTCAGAACCCTCCAGTTTCATGTTCACGCTGTACAGAATGGCGACCAATAAAGTCCAAGTCGGTTTCATTTTCAAATTAAAGCAATTTCTAATTCTCGGGCCGGCAAACTGTGACGTACATTCTGAATCTAGTTTGAAAATAGCTGATGGTGAAGAATATAGCTAGCGAATAGCTAACAAATGGCTAACGAATGAGAAACGAATGAAAAAAATAGAAGAAGAAGTTAAACTGGTAAACAAAAACATACATAACCACAAATGCACTCCGAGCAGGAGTGCAGAGGGTAGTTGGCTTCATTCTGACAGGTTATGGTTTTGTTATTTATGCATTGAAATATCTCGAATAGAGCTCGATCCTAAATGAAAATATCATTATTGGATCAATGAATCACTATCGGCTACATTCAATGATACTATCCTTCTTAATTTACTGTCGTCGGTCAAAACAGAATGAAGCCGACACCCATAGCTCCTTCCTCTTGTTGTGCCTGTCAGTATTTTGAGTGGTGTGGACGGACTCGAAGTATTAGGCGCTGTTGCAAGATATATAATCTAAAACTTTTCTAGAAATAGATCCATTTTATTAAGGAACGAATTCATTAGCAAAAAAAATGACTGACAAGTTATGAATAACATATTGTTGTACAAAAATTATAGATACTATCGCAAAATATCATAATTTATCTTTATTAGTAATCAACTTCATCCAGCCAATGAGAGATTTATGGGAATTATTGATAATACTTTACAAAGTAGGATTGAAGAACCTATTATATCCCATTGCTGTTATGATATAGTTATTATGTATTTAAAGAACAATTTCCTGAAATCTAGACACGAGGGGTAAATCACGGCGAAACAAATTGTACATCAAACTTCCCATGGGTCAAAACTTCCCAAACTTCCTCGAACTTCTTCAAACTTCCTCAAACTTCCCCAAACTTCCCCACATTTTCTCAAACTTTCCAAACTTTCTCGAACTTCCCCAAACTTACTCAAACTTCCTCAAACTTCCTCGAACATCCTAAACTTCCTCGAACTTCTCAAACTTCCCAAATTTGAATGAACTTCCTAAACTTCTCGAAAAATTTCAGACTTCACAAACCAAGTATAAGCAATTCAATATTTATCGATTCAAAATTTGTTCCTTTCCCTATGGTAGGTAGGTATATACAGGGTAGTCCGGTTTGTAATACAAAAAATTCAACAGTGTGTTGTACTCGTTGAGATAATGAAATACTTTTGAACGCTTCGTTTTCGAGATATAGGGTGTTGAAAATATACGAGTTGAACGAGTCTGAATATTGTTTTTTGATGAAAAGTTCGAAACGGTCTGAGATAAATCAACGAAATATCTAACAGATACTGAACTTTTTACGCTCTATAAGATGGAATGAAAATTATTTCATAAAGTAATTCAGTGGCGGCTGAACCTGGGGGTGGTGAAGGAAAAAATCACCCCAATTTTTTTATGCATTCAATTTTTCATTTTCGAATACAAAATGTGAGATTTCTGCGTATAATAGTTTTGTTTTATTTTTTCAATGCTCTACAACGATTTCGAAATGAACCGGATTAACAATATGAGAAATCAGATTTTCAACTACAAATTGAGGAAGGGTGAGTTTTGAGATACAGATTCTGAAACAGGGTAGGTATGTTTTTTTCTCTTCGTTCTGATAATATTGTGAGCAAGAAATTTTCAGAAACGATTATTTTACATAATTTTACGTAATTTTCATCTATTCGGGGGTGGTTGGCAGGGTGAGTTTTGAGATACAAATTCTGAAACAGGGTAAGTATGTTTTCTCTGTTCGTTCTGATGATATTGTGAGAAAGAAATCTTCAGAAACGATCATTTCACATAATTTTACGTAAATTTCATCTATTCGGGGGTGGTTTCCAGGGTGAGTTTTGAGATACAGATTCTGAAACAGGGTAGGTATGTTTTCTCTGTTCGTTCTGATTATATTGTGAGAAAGAAATTTTCAGAAACGATGATTTTACATAATTTTACATAATTTTCATCTATTCGGGGGTGGTTTCCAGGGTTAGTTTTGAGATACAAATTCTGAAACAGGGTAGGTATGTTTCTCTCATTCATTTTGAATATCCTGTTGAATATAAATTTTCAAAAACGATGAGTTAATTTGGTTTTGATTAGTTTTGAAGATGTTCATCTATATATAGGGGTAGTAGCACCCTATTTGTGTGTATACCCCAATTCATCATTATAATCATCATATTGACGCAAAACATTTGGATCGCAATGGTTTCAGTCGATATCTGAATGTTAAAAGAGAAGAATCGATGTGATATAATTTTACACCTGTGAGCATATACTATTATTTCGTTACCGATACGGCGACCGTTTCTATTTTCACACCGGTGGAAAGTAGTTGTTTTTCTCCCAAAATCTACCACTATTTTGCACTTTATGAACATTGTGTGGAAATGAATTTGAGCTTTTTGTATTTATTTACTATACATATTTCCTAGAAATGTCTTCCTACCGGTATACCGGGTGGCTACGGAAGTATTGCCTACGGAATATCTCAGTTATTATATGAAGTAGGTTTGTGAAATTTGGAGCGTCGATATAATGACATAAGAGCTAGAATTTGAGCATATTGACATGTCCAAGTTAACTTCCGGTCTGACCGGAAGTAACATCAACTTTCTTTTTTCAAATGGAAACCCTATTTTTTTTTCTTTTCGCTTTATTCAGCATTCAATTCCCTTTCTAATGACATATCACAAGTTGGTATCTAACCAGAAACTAGATCAGAAAAAAATTATTATTGAAATTCATCGAGTAGGCCGTGGAAGCAAAATGAAAGCCAAAAATTGAAAAGTTGTCTATGAAAACCATACCAATGGTTATGCTGAATAGTACAGGCTAGAAAAAGTTGTATGTTCCTATTCAAGTTATGGACCTACAGAGTATTCTTTTTTTCCCAATTTTTCCAATATATTTCTTGGCGGCTTTTTATAACGCCGACGAATGAAAATAAAATATCACAGTAGTAGCAACTGTTATCAAGTGACGTATGGTTTCCATAGCCAACTTTTCAATTTTTGGCTTTCATTTTGCTTCCACGGCCTACTCGGTGAATTTCAATTATAATTTTTTTCTGATCTAGTTTCTGGTTAAATACCAACTTGTGATATGTCATTAGAAAGGGAATTGAATGCTGAATAAAGCGAAAAGAAAAAAAAATAGGGTTTCCATTTGAAATAAGAAAGTTGATGTTACTTCCGGTCAGACCGGAAGTTAACTTGGATATGTCAATATGCTCAAATTCTAGCTCTTATGTCATTATATCGACGCTCCAAATTTCACAAACCTACTTCATACAATAACTGAGATATTCCGGAGGCAATACTTCCGTAGCCACCCGGTATAGATCGGATTCAACGTGTCGAGCTACACCCTATCAAGAAAGCGACGCCTATGCATCACGACGCCGACGCATGAGAGCACCGCGTAGCACCTTATAGATTTTTCCATTCATGAAATTGGGTAAATGTCCCTGGCAATGGATTTGACAATCCCATCAGTGAAGAATAATCACTATTATTCCGTTCATTTTTTCCAATTCTCAACTTATGATTCAGCCCATTCTCACTCAGGATCGGGTCAATATACAGGGCTTCAGTAAACATATTGGCATAAATGGGTTGATCTGTGGTGGAATCATGTTGTTGACTCGAAGACTACCTGGGATTTTGTATACTTATAGGTGCACCGCGTATTCTGCCATAATATTGTTGGCCACGTTCGTTTATTTCTTGTTCAAATGGAATGTGATTTGTGTGAATCTGCAAGCGTGGCAACATGTCAAGAAAATGGTAAGAATGATATATCAATCTACACTACCGACAGAAAACCGGGCACCAAATTGTTCGCCCTGTAACTTTTTTAATTCTTGTCCGATTTTGGTGAAATTCGACCAAATCGTATGTTCATCTTTCGTAATGTTAGCCTGAATATTATGTCCTAAAAAAAGCTGATGTCTTGATCACTATACAGGGAAATAAAAGAGTTACTCTTTCACCCGACTGGTTAAACTTAGCATCATTATGTGTGTAATCAAGGTGTAATCCCTTCTCAACACAATGACTTTTGATTCACGTCGAAAACCACTTCTTAAGAGAAGATACAAGTGTTTTAAGAAAGTATTAATTTATTTTTATTTTCATTAACAATAATTTAGAACCATTCCATTCTCTAATCAACTGCTTCAATATTTTTTGTATTGAAGTTCGATCAAAATTTAAGCAAAATGTAATTGAATGAAGCAAATGTAAGTGTCATATATGCCCGACAAAATATATTCTTGAAATGACTAAATCTATTTCTTGTTTCAGAGACAAAATTTGGATTCTGAATCAAGTAAATATGTCTTGCATGAACTCTGGATCTTATTCTTCTTCAATATGAAGCACATGTTTATGAAGAGATATTGAATTGACTCAAACAATCATTTTGTTGATTCAAAATAACAAGATATTGATTCAATCCAATATTTATTTGATTCAATGAAATATTTGGTTGACTCAAAGAATTATTATTTGGTTGATTTAATAGATTATTTGGTTAATTCAATGAGATATTTTACTTCCAATTAAATATTTCGTTGATTCAAGAGAAACTGTATATCTTTCATTCGGCAAATTTTTTCGTTGAACCAAATTCAGTATTAATTCAAGAATTTTCTGAAATTTCACAGCAATAGAATAAACTGAACTAGGAAACTAGTCGTCTTCTACTTCTCTCCAGGCTAGGTTCGATTCATTCAGCTGTTATTTCAAACACGGAGAATAAGGCTTCACGTATATAATGAATTCGAGGCAGGCATAGACGAGGCGAAATGGTCGCCATCTAGAGGGGAAAATTCAACTTGATGTAGAATGAACGAAATTTTTCATTGATATTACATATTTCGTTGCTCTATCCAAGCAAATGATCCGTTCGAAACGAGTTCATTGTTTACGAATGATAAAAAACGTTACAGGGTGAATAATTTGGGCAAATTCTCTGGTGGTCGTTTTTTTTGTATAAGGAGGACCATAAGATCGGGTCCTTATAGACTGATGATGACTATTTGGATAATTGAAACCTGTCAAAACCTTATGAATGATCATCTCAATCCTATAGATTGATGTTAATTCTAGGAGAAAGAAAAAAATAGTGAAAAAGTTTCGATTTCATAAGAAGTGCTACATAAAATAAATCAAATCTTTAGTAGTAGATCATGCTCAAATTGGAGATGATGAGATAATCAAGAGAAAAAACTCAAAGTCTCACTCCAAACAATTTTGGATAAACGCTACATGTTTCGACTCCTAGGAGTCATCATCATGCTTAGTGGATAGGAGGAGAAAGAACTTAGAGTGAAACATCGTTCAAAAAGGCATATACATATAATCGCAAATTATTAATAGAACATTATACATCTAGGAAAGTGGTATTTAAAATCCCTAGAGGCTTTCGGCCCTCATCAGTACGGTGAAAGTAAGTGCAAAAGATATGCAGCACTTAGTAGAAAACGAAAATTTGCGGATAAATATGCCTTTGTGAACGATGTTTTCACTCTTAGTTTTTTCTTCTCCTAACCAATAAGCCTGTAGCCTGATGATGATTCCTAGGAGTCGGAACATGTATCGTTTATTAAAAATTGTTTGTAGTGAGACTGGAGTTTTTCTCTTGACTAAAAAAAAATCTAAATAGAAATATTAAAGTCGAGAATTACTTTACAATTTCAGTGCCGTTTGCACGAAAAGGGCCTGGCAGTAGGATCCCTGTGCGCCCCTCTATGCCTGACCAAAGACATACATTCCCTAACGTGCCACTCTTTCGAGGCCAACAAGGAAGCCGTCTTCAGGTAAGTGGTAAGTACAGGATGTGCCATGTTGAAGTTATGAATAATAGTAGATTGTTTTATTAGGATCAAAAGAGACACTTTGTTCGACAAGCGAATTTTGCATTTGCGAGGCGGAGCGTTCAGCGAAGCCGAGCGGAAGCAAAATTTGCGAGTCAAACAAAGTTAGTTTTGATCCGAATGAAACATGCCATTTTTTCTGCAACCGAAACAATTAACTCAAATAAATATGTGAAGTAACCTCCAATGCAGTGCCATATGTATGCGATGCAACAAAATAGTCCGTGTGGTGAGAATATCCTAAAGGCATTAACAGCAGGTTTATTCAATTTTCAAAGATGTTCGAATTGTAGTTTGAATATAAATACAATCAGAGAGTGACATATTTGTATATGGACCAGATGCTCTAATGGCAAATACCGCCCCAGTACCAGCTATAGGAACAAGACGTGGAAAATGTTAGGTTAGTGAGCATATCAATAATAATAATAGCGATTATTTATTTCTCTCCATTCTCCACTGTGTTTGGCTTAGTAATCAAATGTAGGTAAACAATATCGTTGTGTAATACAAAAATAGTAGATTGTTTTATTAGGATCAAAAGTGACACTTTGTTTGACAAGCGAATTTTGCATTTGCGAGGCGGAGCGTTTAGCGAAGCCGAGCGAAAGCAAAATTTGCAAGTCCAACAAAGTCACTTTTGATCCGAATGAAACATGCTATTTTTTCTGCAACCGAAACAATTAACTCAAATAAACATGTGAAGTAACCACCAATGCCGTGCCATATGTATGCAATGCAACAAATATTGACAAATAATCCATGTGGTGGGAATATTCTACCTGCATTAACAGCAGGTTAGGTTTTCTAGGATGTTCGAATTGTAGTTTCAATATGAATATAACGCGAATACAACCAGAGTGACATATTTGTGTATGGACCAGATGCTCTAATGGCAAATACCGCGCCAGTGATAGCCATAGGAACAAGACGTGGAAAATGTTGGGTTAGTGAGCATATCAACAATATGATGATAGTAATTATTCATTCCTCTCCATACTACACTGTGTTTGACTTGATAATCAAATGAAGCTAAACAATATCGTTGTTTGAGACAAAAAACTATTGCTTGTCGTGATTATTCAAAAACAAGTTATCCATCCCGAGAATAACGAATGAAATACAGATCGAGCAAGTATTTGAATCTTGAAGACTTCCCTGCACAAACAAATTTACTTTGCTGAGATGTTTATAATTCCAATACTTAACAATAATAAGGTGTATTTATATCTCCAGCATGAGTGTGAAATGCCAAATCTGCTGAAATCGGAAACAAATCAGGTATGCGTCTCAACCCAAATAACCAACCGTCACAATGTTGTTTATTCTTGATGACGTCCAGTACATCCTTTTTAGTTCCTAGGAGCTAAAGTTCAACTTTAGCTCCTATAGGAACTCAAAATCAAATTTAGCTCCTAGGAACTAAATATGTTGCCTAGCAACATACCTATTTTTGTGTCAGTAATAGAAACGTCAATTTAAGAGCTAATTTTGGTATCAAAATGGACGACTTTTGCGTCGGTTGCAGAAAAACATTATTTTGCTGGCCGTGATTATTTAAAAACAATAAGTTATCCGTCCCGAGAATAACGAATCAAATAAATATCAAGCACGTATGTGAATCTTGAAGGCTTTCCTGATCAAAACAAAAATACTCAACTATACCTCTGATTATATACACTAGTGTGAATACTCAAAGACTGTACTAAGGTGTATTTATATCTCCAGCATGGGTATGAAATGCCAAATCTTTCGAAATCAGAAACAAAACAGATATGCGTCTCAACCCAAATAACCAACCATAACAATGTTGTTTATTCTTGATGACCTCTAGTACATCCTTTTCAATTCCTAGGAGCTAAAGTTCAACTTTAGCTCATAGGAACTGAAGTTCAACTTTAGCTCCTAGGAACTGAATTTGTTGCCTAGTAACATACCTATTCTTGTGTCAGTAATAGAAACGTCAATTCAAAAGCTGATTTTGGACGACTTTTGTGTCGGTTGCGCTCCGCCTCAGAAATGCAGAATTCGCTTGTCAAACAAAGTGTCACTTTTGATCCTAATGAAACAATCAACCATTTTAAGTCAAGGTAAGAACGCTAGTTTTTTTTAATTTTTAAGCGCGGAATGGCACGACACCCGGCTAGTGTTCAAGTCGGTACCCGAGAACGCACGAGCGATCCATTGGTACGACAACGGAGTTGTGAAGTACCCCACCGAAAAGGAGTTCATAGCCACTATCAGGTCCATAGCGAAGAACAGACTCAATCTCACCTTGGCCTACGATACGGCAGTACGTCTGTCGAGATTGAAACCCTCCTACGAAGAAAAAACGTACGTATGTCGCAAATGAGTTTTTTGTCAATTTTCTTCAAGGATTCCTGGTAATTTCATCACTTACTTATGTAAAATCATCAACGCCATATTGAAACTATTATATTTCCCTCAAAGATGGAAGCATGCCGAAGTAGTGATGCTTAAGAAGCAAGGCCAGGATAATGCTCTTCCGCAGAGCTATCGTCCTATCAGTCTCCTGTGCTCTCCATCTAAGATAACTGAGCGAGTAATTAAACAGAGATTACAGGAATTTATCGACGACAACGAGCTTATACCAGATGAGCAGTTCGGTTTCAGAACTGGCCACTCAACTGAACTACAAGTCTTGAGACTCATTGAGAACACAATATCGTTGAGAAATGATAGACAAAAGACCCATCTTGCTCTCCTTGACATAGCGAAAGCATTTGACAAGGTGTGGCATGATCACGATGTGGCATGATGGTATCTTATACAAAATGATCGATATGGGCTTTCCTGACGATTTGATTCAGTTGATGTGTTCATTTCTGGAAAATCGAACTTTTCAAGTAAAACTTGATGATCAACGATCTGGTATCAAGCCCATTGAAGCTGGTGTTCCTTAGGGTGCAGTTTTATCTCCGCTGTTGTACAGTTTATATACTAGCGATTTGCCAAGACCAGTGATGTGCAAGATGTCGCTTTTTGCTGATGATACGGCAGTTCTTGCATATTTGACAAATTTCGAGCAAGCAGCTATGAACCTCCAAAGCGCACTGAATTCTCTTCAGGAGTACTTCCTAAGATGGAAGATCAAATTGAATCCTACAAAAACACAATTGGTCGCACTCGGAAGGGAGCGGAGGCCTTTCAGAACCAGAATAGTCCTCGATGGGCATGAATCAAGGTGGTCATCACAAGTTAAATAGTTAGGTGTTTGCATTGACAAAAAGCTTTCCTGGGCCCAGCACATTGAACAGCAAGTTTCTAAAGCTAAACGAGCCATTGGAGCCCTGTATCCATTTCTAAACAGGCAAAGCAAATTGGGTTTGAGACAAAAATTGAATATTTATATCATGGCTATCAGGCCAATTTTACTGTATGCCTCAGTAGTCTGGGGCCACACAGCTAAATCTCATATCACCAGATTACAAACATTACAAAACAAAGTCGCGAGAATGGTGACAGGATATCCTTGGTATGTTCGGAATAACCAGATCGCCAGGGATCTGAAACTCCCTTCAATCGTGTCAGTCATTAAAGAACGAAACATCCTCGGAAACATCAAGACTTTCGAAAAAGCTGAGGTTCATGAGAATCAGCTTCTTCGAAATGCAGTTGATTATGACCCAGAGGTGATCAATCAAAGTTCAAAAGACCGAGATTGTCCATAAACTAGAGAAAATATCGACATTATGACCAAATTTACTATTCTCAAGTTTTTGATATTATTTTTTCCGTTCGATCTCTTTCAATTCTTAGAATGTATTTCTGAAACTTATTTGGGGCAGAAGGGCTGTTCGCATCAAACTTCAATACCGTTTTTATTTTGTTCCATAATAGATATCAGGATAAGAGGGACTCTTCCCTGGTCTCAATGAAATAAAAGAAAGATCCAATATATAGCTAACGAACCACCCAGTTTCTCATATTTTGTTATCTCGACATCACCTCGGTGAAGTAGTTCAGAAACAATTATAAGCTGATGTAACGAACCTGCTCTTCCTCCACATAGCACCATGATGTCCAATGAACTTCCAGTGGGCCTCCAATGGCCATCCACTGGATGTCCAATGTATGTCCTTCAGTCATTCAATGGATTGCGAATGGTAATCCATTTCATGTCCTTTGGAAATGGATTGGAACCATCCATCCAAACAAAGGGAAATTATGTTCATTATAACCTAACATTTTATGAACACTGGATGAGTAAACACTATATACAATGGATATATAGAAGCGGATGTCCATTGTTCATCTACAAAATTGATGTCCATTGGATATATAAAATCGACTGTCCTTCCCTGATAACACAATTTTGTCCCATGGATATCCTTAGGACGTCCTGTCGGGACATTCAGGACGTCCACAGGACGATCGAATTTGGTACCGTGGACGTTCATTGGGCGTCTGTGGGACGCACAAATGTCCCACTTGAGGACCAACTAGGGACGTCTTCGGGGGATGTCCTTAGGACATCTGTAGGACAACCTATCAGCAACGCTGAGGGATATCAATTGGATGTCCATAGGATATCCCAGGGACGTACGAATTATTCTTGAATTTGAATTCTTCTTGGTCCCTCTAGGACCAGATCTTGCATAACTGATGAGGACATCCAGTTGAGTCGATGGTCCGTAGAAGGTACCCAATAGATCCTGAAAGAGTTTCCCAAGGATGTCCAATGGACTTACGTGAAGGATATTAACGGGGAGTATTTATAGCCTACGAGCAATCATTCGTCGGCGAGGTGTAAGTTAACGTCCTCGCAGGGACAACATATTGAAAGTACCGACTGGGACGTCCGTAGGATGTTATTTCTAGGACATTGGGAGAGTACAGTTCATGTACCAAATGGGACATCCGACGGATATCCCTAAGGGACATTCCGATTGTTATACGATCCTGGCAATATTAAGGGCGTCTGTGCAGAGATATTTGAAGGAGGGGGTACCATCAAGGACATTACATGGTTGTCTAGAAGGGACATTATATAAGATCTGAAGTCATGCCAGATTATGTAAAGGATCGTTTAAAATCATATCTCATCAGGGACATGCCAAGGACGTCCTTGCATGGACATTCTACGATATGTACCTCGTGGGACGTCTATAAGGGATGCTATTTATGGGATATTTGAAATGATGTGTACCTGCTGGGACATTCCGTGGACGTCCTTGCTCGGACATTGCATGAGATGTACGGGATGAAGACTTCCCAAGGACACTCATTTTTGGCCCGGGACATTAGGACTTGAATTGTACCAAATAGGGACGTCCCTAGGACGTAGTGTGCTATTAGGGTTTGTACCATCTAGAAAAGGATGTCCCATAGATGTACTAATTCAGATGTCTATTGTTCATCTATACAAAATGGAAGTCCATGATGTCCATGAGCGTCATATGCTGTCTGATGAACACAAAATGGACATCCAACAATTGTACAAATTCTGATGTCCGTTGTATATCTACAAAATAGATGTGTAATGGATGGCCATGAACATTTAGCTGCCTGATGGACTCAAAATAGAAAATTCAATGGATGTTCAAATTCAGACGTCCATTGTACATCTACAAAATGGATGTCTAACGAATGTCCATGGACATCCAAGCACTGATGAACACATAATGGACATCCAATGGACATATACCTGTGTTATCTGGGCTAAACTTCACAAAAGTCGACTTCTGGGTAGTTGGTTTCCAATTTCAAAGAATTAATATACGAATTTGACAACATTTCCCATTTTTAATATTCGGTCAACAAAAGTTAACGGGGCTGTAGCCCCGGATGCCCTTTCCTATAGATCCGGTACTGGTACTATATTCTGTGTGTAACCTTCTCCACCTAAATAAATTCAACTTCTTCTGATAATTTCTAGAAAATCGAATCGGCAGAAAGAGATGGACGATTTGTGGCTGCTGCTCCAAGACAACGAGTATTTGCTATCGGCACTGTTCACAGACAAAGATGTCTTTCCCCAACTTCTGGGGACCTGCGGTCCTTATTTCGCTGTGGAATATTTGGAGCCTGTGCCGGCCTCCTCTTCCCTATTGACAGCCAGTGACAGTCGAGAAAATTGGGGTCAGCGATTGAAGGTAGCGCTACAGGTGAATATTGTGAATTGCACAACAGGTGCGACATCTATACGTTTATTTCGTTGAACTAATATAAAGTATATTCAGTAAGTATTCCTTTCATAGAAGGGACATGTTTCGAAGCTTCAAAGCTTCAACATCAGCAATAAGGTGCGCATAGAAAGAGAAAAACAAAGCATAATGTCAGACAAAAGTCTTCAACATCAACGACAGTTTTTAAAAACGCACCTGTTATGGAGGTTATTAATGTTGTAACAATTTTTCATTTTTGTTTTTGAATATGCGAACACAACCCACTAAACATGATACATAACAAAAATATTTTTCAGTTATAAGTTTTGTGATATTGTTGAAATAACATTGCCATAATGTCCTTCTGAAGTATCCAACATAATATTATGAAGTAAAACGTTTATGAGACGTTGCATCAATATTGATATCAATACCATTAGATAATATTGTGATATGTTGATTTTAGGTTCATTAGATATATCTCAGACAGAGTTGTTATGTTATTTGTGCAACGTTTTCGTTTCACCACCTTATAATAAACGTAGCTAACATGTATAGGGGATATAAGGGGATAATATTTTTCCTCCTACGGCAAAGTAACCTTGTCAATTGTCACAAGGCAATTCAATTCCATTCCAGCCATTTTGTTTGTTGTCTATTATGGTGAACAGATCATTGTTAAACTTGATTTTCAGATATTATTCGTAGTTATTAAAGTAAGTCAAGAACTAAAGAAGTCTAGGACTCAAATAGACTCGAATGAAAATATGAACTGCTCATGCGATACCTATTTAGATTCCAGGTTTGTTCTGCTGGAATATAGAAATGCAACCAATATGTATCTGCATTTCATAATATGTGAAAAAGTAGGAGGGATTCATGAATACGCATTGTGTTCATATTTCACGAATTACAAAAATAATGGGTGAGTTATAACTAGAAGAAGAATTCAAGAATTTCAAAATAAGTCAGAAAACTTCCAAAAACTCGGATATATTTACCTATTACTTTTCAGAAAGTCAGTAAGAGATCACTGGACTATACAGAAATCATGAAGCTTAGCTTGGTATGACTGGATTCATGAAGCATAATAACTGAAATGATACATAGATAGATAGTAGTTAATCTGTCTCAAATTATCACTATGTAACTGTATCATACTTATAGACTTTCAGGAGTACGGTAAGATCAATTCTTATTCAGGGATAGATCACATTCTCTGTCTTTTGTGAAGATCATTTAGATGATTGTCTTGATGATTCCAGACAAAATAGACATAACCTAAAAACTCCTAGAAGATAATTAGAATGTTAAAATACAATATTGTTTAGATGTATCGAGTAACATTGAATATACGTTATAAAGTAACATCGATTTTATGTGATTCCTGATATATTTATACAATATTTACTATCAACATTACATTGTAATATTTAAAAGAGGCACAAAAGCCTATTCCCGCAACGTAGGTATCTGTGACATTATGCATCTCTCTGAATAACATCACAAAGTAACAATGTGATATAACATTTATGTTTAAGTTATGTTTTTATGTTTAGTGGGAACTTTCCTCCTCCATAACAGGTGAGTTTTCTAGAACATTCGTTGTTGAAGACTTTTGTCTGACATTATGCTTTGTTTTTCTCTTTAGTGCTCCTATGTAACTCATTGCTGATGATGAAACTTTGAAGCTTCGAAACATGTCCGTTCTATGAATTGCTTACATTAAAGTATAGTTTTGGTGTAGTAGACTGTATGAATTTTTGCCCTGTCCTATTTCCTACACTTCACTGTAAGATGGATCGCCTCAGTTGGTTATTTCTTTCCATAGGTGGTATAGGGTATTACTGTTTTCGTCTTATTATTTTCAAATTTTTGGACAACAAATTGAGTTGAGTGATATTCTTTTCCGTCGACCTCGTATTAACGTCTAAGTTTAATGTATATGAAATCGTTCATTAATGACCCCTATTAATGAACGATTTGTCTATTAATGCACGATTGTTTTATAGGCAACATACACCGCGTGCATTCATTGTTTATGCTATAACTTACGCAGAGATTATACAGTATGTATAATCTCTGACTTACGGAATTTGCATTTAAATCGAAAATATGGATTTCATCGACGATTTTCCGTTACCGAGTTCGCCTTTCCAAGTTTCTGACACCATTTTAATCCCTGTTTTATAACACAAGGAATTTATTTCCTATGTTGATCATTTCGACAAATGTCAAATGTCACTAATATCAGTAACAAGGCTACTGGGTGATTCTTGGCAGTTTCCCGATGAATGATGAATTCGCTAACCAAGTTTTCTTCATTGCAGGAGAAATGAGAAATATAGTCGATGGAAAAATTTTGTAACCAACTTGTATATTAAAAGGCGATTAATGATCTCGAACATTAACGCGCCCGCTTCGCTCGCACATTAAAATATCTCGATCATTAATCGCCCTCATTAATACACTTTTCTGTCGACCTCGTATTAACGACTAAGTTTAATGTATATAAAATCGTTCATTAATGACCCCTAATACTGAACGATTTGTCTATTAATGCACGATTATTTTATAGGCAACCAAACATACACCGCGTGCATTCATTGTTTATGCTATAACTTACGGAATCTGCATTTCAATCGAAAATATGGATTTCATCGACGATTTTCCGTTAACGGGTGCGCCTTTTCAAGTTTCTGACACGACTTTAATCCCTGTTTTCTAACACAAGGAATTTATTTCCTATATGTTGATCATTTCGAAAAATGTCGAATGTCACTAATGTCATCAGTTACAAGGCTACTGGGTGATTCTTAGCAGTTTTCGGATGGATGATGAATTGGCGAACCAAGTTTTCTTCACTGCAGGAGAAATGAGGAATATAGCCGACCTAAAAATTGTGTAACCAACTTTTATATTGAATGGCGATTAATGATATCGAACATTAACGCACTCGCTTCGCTCGCACGTTAAAATATCTCGATCATTAATCGCCCTCATTAATACACTAGTTGGTTAAATAACTATTTCCGTCGACCTCGTATTAACGACTAAGTTTAATGTATATGAAAATCGTTCATATGATTTTCCGTTAACGGGTTCGCCTTTCCAAGTTTCTGACACGATTTTATTCCCTGTTTTCTAACACAAGGAATTTATTTCCAATGTTGATCATTTCGACAAACGTCAAATTACACTAATGTCACTAACAAGGCTACTGGGTGATTCTTAGCAGTTTCCGGATGGATGATGAATTCGCGAACCAAGTTTTCTTCATTGCAGGAGAAATGAGAAATATAGTCGACGGAAAAATTTTGTAATCAACTTGTATATTAAAAGGCGATTAATGATCTCGAACATTAACGCACTCGCTTCGCTCGCACGTTAAAATATCTCGATCATTAATCGCCCTCATTAATACACTAGTTGGTTAAATAACTATTAATGAAGATTGTTTGAAAATGAGTGAATTGAAAACGGTCTGCAGAAGTCAGGAAATTCAATACTAGGCGTATTTACTTATTATATAGTGTCCCACAGACAAAATTTCCCTGCATTATTTTCCAATTAATACAAAGATTTATGCAGGCAGTGGATATTTTCATTAGAAATTGGAAAATCCATTACAAAGTGAATGTTTCTTTGCAGTGAGTATATCTTGGAAACCGATTTTATCAAAGGTGAATATCTTAGGTTATATGTAAAGGGCCCCTTATTCAACTTATGAAATATAAATACAATTCCGATTCAAATTAATATTTATTTCCTAGGGTGATGGTGTTTGCAAACATAGACCAAATATTCTCTGATTCTGACAGCTGATTTCATTATCCAGCTGATATAGGATAATATGACCATCAGACTTGAAGACGGCTTCGCCTTCTTTTATTGGCCTTTGTAAGATGGCCTTTGACGAATATCTACGTAGGCAGAAATGTCCGAAAACTCGCAATTCAACTTTCGACATTTTCAACATTTTAGGTCAATTTGAATGAAGAGAAAATCAAACACAATTATCTTTTTTCTACTCACATTACTAAAATTGCATTAAGCGTACGGATATGTACCACGCTAAATGATCGATTAATCACGGATTAACGATCTGTGATTCATTCAAAATATTAAACACGTTACCATGGCAACACGATTTATTAAACACATTAACATGGCAACACAGTTCATTAAACACAACTTCAGTAATTTGAGACATGTCTGGTCTGTCAATTGCATTAACTGTCAACTGTTATTTTCAAATTTTGTATCAGAATTATTCAAACAATATTCGTTCCTATCAGAATTCTTCATTGAAAATATATGCGAAATGTAGACGAAAGTGAAATCGAAGAGAATGTTCTGGTACTTGCATATCTCCAAGAAGTGTAAAAATGAAGCATCAATTCCCATTCTTCTTGAGTTATTTTTTAAGTTAGTAGAAATAGCAGGTATGTTAATGTATTTATTTTCGGAGTTCGTAGAAAAAGCATAGTATGTAACGCGTTTATAAACCCTTCTAGACACTCGTTTATTAAACACTCGCTCCGCTCTGCTCCGCTCGTGCTTGAAATACTCGTTACTAAAAGGACGCTTATAACACTTGTTATATAATATACTATTATGGAATAATAAAGTTGATTACCATGATTAATACTGCTTCGCGCTCAAATATAGTGTGCCATCCAGCGGAAACGAATTTTGCGAATATTGTCGTTCTGAATGGAATCCTTAATTTAGTGAAAATGGTGGGATACGACCTGTTAGATATTTTAATTCAACATTGTTATTGTTATTATTAGATTCTGGATTTGCTGGAAGAGCTGGAAACAGGTTTTCGCGAGCCATTTCACTTGTGCGATCTAAAACTGCGCCACTTTGGGTCAGTCAAAAACGGCCAGAAGCTGAAATTCATCGACTTGGACGGGGTGTTGCCGAAATCCGTGGCCGGCTCTCTAATCAAAGAAATCGGTTTTTGCGACGAAGACGCCGACTGCGATTTCTACGATTGCCGTTCAAAGTAAGACTTTTTCATGAGCTATAAGATTTTAAAAAGTTGTTTTCTTGAGATTTCCAACACAGATTTTTATATACTATTTTATCTTGAAAAGGAATATTTTGAGATATAATTATGAACATGAGAAAATGAATATACAGGGTGTTTCTTAACGACATGCTTATATTCAGGGGCGTCATTCTTTGACTCATTTCGAGAAGAAAACTCCAAATGAACGTATGTCCTGAAAGTCATGACTTTTGAGATACAGGGTGATGAAGTTTTGAAAAATATTCAGTTTTTTTATAGTAACTGAGACAATATTGTATACATCTTCATGAAATTTAGTACACGTCTTTTATGCATCAAGGTGCATTTTCTGATACAGAACTTTTTTTATTTTTTCTACCAGTGGCACCGTTACGTGAATATTATTGTTTATATTTTACTTAAAAGTCAGCAACGACAAAAAAATTCAGAATTTTATACAATGTCATAAAATTATGTAAAAAAAACTCCTCTAGTTGATACTCGATAAAACGCTTCGTTCATAAAAACGAGACCAGACTTCAAATTTTGATGTCTGAGTACTCCAATCAGGACATCCATTATTACTGGATAACCACAGTATGTAACATTTTGAAATTTGTATACCTATTCAGTCACATATAGCAGACTGAATTTTGCTATCACGAAAAGCTATACACGGTGGACAAAAAAATTATCTATGGATATTTTCAACACTGACAACCTGTATCTCAAAAGTTAAGACGTTTACGACATACTTTCATGTGAAGTTTTATTCTCCAAGAGAAATTATTTTGCTCATAAAAAGAGTATAGGCTGAGATCGATTTTCATAATTTTTGGCATGGCATGTTCTGTGACTATAAGTCACGTTTTGAGATGTTTATGATCATCATCAGTGACCTGCAAGTGTTTCAAACAGCCATGTTACCGTACAAATTTGGTGATAACTTTTGAGAGGTCGGACTGTAAACTTCCATTGTTTTTTCCAGAAAAATATTCTCTTCAGAAATAGTTTTTCTATCGTGTTAATTTTTGATAAGTCTCGAGGTTCATTTGCAACTAAATAATTTCTGATCTGGGGCATCTTTTAGAAAAATAATCTGGTTGGGACATGGCTTGACTGTAGACTCCTGGGATAAAAATTAGTTGATTTTAGCCAACTTACCTATATTCAAAATCGTTTCGTTGAGTTGGCACAAGGCGTTAAAGTGCTCACTTTAGGTCCTGAATAGGTTATCGCTAAATTTGTAACGCGAGAGTTCTTGTAAAGCCCGCGAGGACCAGCAACATATCAATTTGTTTACAATAAGAATTCATTGTAGCCATGATCAATAAGCAGTCCGACTAGTTAGATTAATTTTCAAATATGCGCAGGATGCATCATATCAGAAATTATTTATTTGCAAATGAACCTCGAGACATCAAAAATTGACATGATACAAAAAATTTTTCTGAAGGGAATATCTTTCTGGACAAAAAAACTGGAAGTTTCCAGTCCGACCCCTGAAAAGTTATCACCAAATTTGTACGGCAACATGGTTGTTTGAAACACTTGCAGGTCACTGATGATGATCAAAAACATCTCAAAACGTGACTTACAGTCACAGAACATGCCATGCCAAAAATTATGAAAATTGATCTCAGCCTACCCTTTTTATGAGCAAAATTATTTTTCCCAAAAAAATTTCAACGCCTTGTATCAACTCAACGTGACGATGCTGGATATAGGTAAGTTGGCCTAAATCAACTTGTTTTTATCCCAGGAGTCCCAACCAATCACAGACACCCTGTATATAAATTGTCCAATGATGAAAAAAGTAGGGCAAGTTGTTCTAAATGCCATCCAGAAGAAGGCGGAAAAGAAGGTGAAATTTGTAACTTCATAGTCAAATATCCTAATAAATAATGGTTTGTTCATATTTTCCTTATAAAATTCGTGTTTTTCAGACAAAAATACGTAACTACCAAAAAACAATTTTGGAAAAAAACCATCGCATGATAAATGCAGAACAGATACTGGGTGATCATGATTCTGAAACTTGAACCAGCCTGTATTTGTTCCAATTAAATGTCAGTAGATACATTAAGATAGGGACATGAAAGCCGTTTTGACCGATAATGAATAGTTTTGACACAAAAAAATCCTAAAGTTGAAAAATCTCGATTTTGAACACCCTATATCTCTGTCATCATTCTCGCTAGACACTAAGCGTGATATTGATGAAAGCAGCTCTTCAGGGATAATCTAAGAATCTAATAGAATACATGGTGTTCCATTTGAAAAACGAAAGTTGATGCCCGTTATACGCTTCAAAGTTTCAACTTTGGAATATGATAATGCAGAAAAATGTGTCCCTCGCCAAATTGAAATCAATCTGTCCGAGCGATTTTCAATTTTTTTTACTACATCGGAGATTAGGGGGGTGACAAGTTCTAGCTGGGACACACTGTATATATTTTCGTTATCAGATGACGGTCGAAATTTGCAGCCAGCTCTTGTAGTATGATATCTTATATGTACAGTCAGCTTCAGAAAACATGGCGCACATGGCCGATATGACAGCATTCTTAATAACTCCTGCAATAAGAGCGCTGACACCGTCCAATTGCGACATGATCTCTGAAGACAACTGTACAATAGTGTGATGACTTCCGTTGGATCTAAACAAATTTTTTCCTCGTTGAAGAGTTGGGACACCCTGTATTTCGACCCTCCCCAATTCTATAGTGTAGTTGTAGGAATAAGTCGAACGAAAATTATTTGGTTCATTCTTCATTTCAATTGAATACTTAATTGAAAAACAATACTCCCCATACATCACGTTGTATAAAAATTGAAATGACGTTTTCAATATCCGAGAAACAAGTTGACAAAATAAATCCTCAACACCCTTCTGAAGGGCATATATTATGTTCATTGAAACAACCATTATCCTTTCTTCAAGTTTTACTGATTCTAGAAATATTTTATATTGGTAGGTAATTGGTCACCATGTTTATTTGTATCATCCTGAAAATCTTCTAACTTTACTTTTGACACCCTGTTATTCACCTCCGATTGATGGAATGTTTCATAAAAAAAGTGGGGACTGTTTATCGTATCGAGATCGAGCAAAAAATTGTGAATCATTCGATTACAGAACACTGTTCTGAGACCAGTCGAATCTAGTATCAGTATATCGTTTACTACGCATGTGTGTGTATGTGTGGTGAAAACTGACTGTTAGATTATCTGAATTTGAATTTTTGAACATTGAAATGTGAACCCAAAGTGAGGAAAGGATGCCGGTGAGTTGATATCAATGCTTTTAGATCCAATTCGACTCCAATTCTTATGGTTTTCATCTCGGTTTTTATATTTTTTGCTTGCCGATCTACAAGAGTTCCGGATCTTATAATGATTCTGATTTTTAGTTGGAAATTTCAATTTTCTTTCCAAAATTTCGACTTCAGAGTGAAAAATTCGCCGTTTATATCGAAATCTCAACTTTTATTTCGAATGTTTCGACTTTTATTAACAAAATTCCTACTTTTTCCAAATTTCGAAATTTTATTTGAATGTGAATTTCTAGAACACAACATCGAGTTCAAAAATCTATTGGCCAATAATAGTAATTCTACAGTGTGTGATACTATGATGAGATATTTCAAAAAAAAATTTTATTCACTTGACAATTTTTGGTAAAACTGCATTTATTATGCGATGGTTTTTTTTTTCGAAAATATTTTTAGGTACTACTTACGTATTTTTGTCTGAAAAACACGATTTTGATAATGAAAATGTGAACAAACCACTATTTTCGTCAAGCGGCAGGGATAGTGGCTTTCTCCTGCCACTTAATAGGCAGAAAAGGTGTACTTTTACCGAGACTTTTACTGCCTAGGCAGAAAAAGTTTGGGTAATTTTGCACTTATCATGCGATGGTTTTTTTTTTTCGAAATTTTTTTTTGGTACTTACGTATTTTCGTCTGAAAAACACGATTTTGATAATGAAAATGTGAAAAAACCACTATTTTCTTCAAGCGGCAGGGATAGTTGCTTTCTCCTGCCGCTTAACAGGCAGAAAAGGTGTACTTTCTCTGCCTAGGCAGAAACCTTTTGGGTAATTTTGCACTTATCATGCGATGGGTTTTTTTTCGAAAATTTTTTTTGGTACTTACGTATTTTTGTCTGAAAAACACGATTTTGATAATGAAAATGTGAACAAACCACTATTTTCTTCAAGCGGCAGGGATAGTGGCTTTCTCCTGCCGCTTAACAGGCAGAAAAGGTGTACTTTTACTGCCTAGGCAGAAAAAGTTTGGGTAATTTTGCACTTATCATGCGATGGTTTTTTTTTCGAATTTTTTTTTGATACTTACGTATTCTTGTCTGAAAAACACGAATTTGATAATGAAAATGTGAAAAAACCACTATTTATCGAGATATTTGAAGAAAAAGTTCGAAATTTTGCCTTCTTTTCCCCCTTGTGTTGGATGCATTTACAGGTACTTGCTCTTTTTATTTTGTCATTGGACACTTTCTATACTCATGATGTACTTCAATGACACATTTTAAGATGGAAAAATCAACAGGAAATATAATTTTTATGGCGAGTTTTTCCTATTTAGTGAGCAAGCACACCAGATGACGGCCATTTAATCAATATTCAATCCAAGTACGAGATGTCAAATGTCAATAGATTGCTTTGGAATGACATTACACACGCCATTATTTCAAATGATATTCTTCCTTCTTTTCACTAAATATGGATAAATTTCAAGAAAATCATATGTCTAGTGAACTCATGTAATAGAAAAAAATGTGTCGTACGTTGTGATATACAGGGTATCTGTAAAAGGTTGGGACATGGCTCGGCTGTGGACTCCTGAGATAAAAACAAGTTGATTTAGGCCAACTTACCTATATCCAGAATCGCCTTGTTGAGTTGGTACAGGGCGTTGAAATTTTTTTGGTAAAAAATTATTTTGCTCATAAAGCGAGTAGGCTCTGAG